GTTACAGGGATAAATAAAATCCAGACGTCATGCTGTTCACAAACTAATGGGAAGACATAAATGCAGATATATAATAGCAGTGCTATGCTCTCGATCATTTCCATAACAGAAATAAGGACCAGAGTCAGTGAGGGCATTAAAGAGTAAATATTTAATGCTATCTGGGAAGGAGCCAAGGAAGGTTTCACAGAGAAGATTATGCTAGAGCTGGTCTTAAGGGATGCATAGGAGTTTACCTGACTTATAAAGAGGGGTAGGAGAATTCCAGGGCAGAAGGAACAGCGTGAAAAATGACGCAGAGACATAAGAAACAAGAAGGTTCAGGGCACTGTGAGCAGACCTTTCATAACTAGGTACTTCTGATAAAGCAGGAAGTTGGAGGTAAGATGAGAAAACAAAACACAGCAATGGGAAAGCTTGATGATAGTCAGATCGTGAAGGACCTCAGGTGCCACATTAGGTCATTTAAATCTGATCTCCTGAGCTACTGAATGGCAGGGAAAGGGTTTGGAAATAATGTTATAATCTGATGGTCTCTAATGCATCCTAAGAGTAGTGGTGACAACTTGATTTTCCTTCAGTGGATGAGTGGTTACAAAATACTGTGGAAACTCCACACCATAGAATACTACTCAGAACTAAAAAGAAATGAATTATTAATATGCACAGCAATGTGGATGGGTCTCAAGAGAGTTATGCTAAGTGGGAAAAAAACAATCCCAAAATATTTTAAAAACTGTACCATTCCATTTATATAATGTTTTTGAAACAGCAAAATTATAGAGATAAACCACAGATTAGTGGCCATAATGGAGTCTTTTGTAGTGATGTAAGAATTCTGTTTCTTTGTGGTGGTGTTAGTTACACAAAGTTCTGCATGTGATAAAATTGCGTAGACAAATAAACATACACACACATGAATATATGTGTAACTGGTAAAATATGACTACAGTCTGTCGACTGTGTCACTGTCAGTTTACTAGTTTTGATGCTGTGCTATCGTCATGCAAGACGTGACCACTATAAAACTGGACTGGAGTACATGGAAATTCCCTGCACATGCGTGTGTGTGTGAATTCCTGTGAATATGTAATTATTTCAAAAAAGTTTTAAAATGATAACAAAAACTGGTAATATGATTAACCTGGAAATTTGGAAAAAGAGAAGTTTTTAGTGGAATTTAGATTGTTACTCAGGCAATAATTTCTTCTGAGAAAGAATTCTTAAGGATTCCAATGAATGTTTTATGTAACTACACAGCACAAGGTTATATTGACATGAATGTATACATTACAGGTAAAATTTTTCTCAGTGAATTTGGGTTCATCAATACTCAAATGCTCTAGAGCAAAAGTAACAACTATAGAATTGGAGGTAGCTTATCAGTACAAATGTGCTCAATTTGGAATGATGAAAGTGCCAAAACCATGTCAAACACTACTAGTTGGATCATTCTAAAAATTTAAAAAAAAAACACCAACAACCAAACAAGCAAAAGCAACCAAACCAACCTGACTTAATTTGTGTTCTGAGTGATTTGGCTTTCGTAGGATGAAAGGTTCATGTGTGTGTCTACATCTACCACATATGGTTGCAGATTATACATCAAACTCTAACGTAGTGTGATGAAGTCTGAGATTAAACACATACACACAATTAACATATGCATTGTAACATAACACACACAAAGCATTCATGCATTGGTAAAGCACAGGTGTAAACTCTATCAGTAATGCAATAATTCTGTTATTAACACACAAGATAGTCCCCAGGATGAATATTAGGTGGAATCTTGTTCTTTGGGCTGACAGTATCATTTGAGTTGCAAATTGTCCTAGTGGAATTTTTTCCGTCTTTAGCCTTAAAACAATAGCTAATTAATTTTATGCAAGATTCTTGCACAAGGGTAGTGTGGGTTTAATAGTGACTTTGAACATTTTATTCTTGCAGAATTCAGATGCTTCACATACATATATGCATTTCTAAAACCCCAAATTCGTGAGTTCCTGATTAATCGGGAATCACAGATTTTGATATGAATTGGGCTTCAAAAATCATAAGGCATTAAATGATAGGAGGCACTCTACTCATCTGTCAGGGTTATAAGTAAGTCCTCAAAGGCCAGGTAGCACCTTGCAGCAGTGCTGAAATGTGGAAGAAGTCCTTGGGGTGGCAAAAACAGGTGGCAGATGTGGACACAATTACCCATGCCCCAAGATGCCACCGTAATCCTGAAACTACAGCAGAGATGACAGCCTCAAAATGTATAAACCAAGTTGGCCCAGACATGACTATCACCCCCAAAATATAGCCTTCATAGGAATATCTCACAGTAGATTATTATGTATTTGTTTTCTCATCCATGGTCTGTTTTCCCAACCTTAATGTAAGTCCCAGACCTTGCCTGTTGCTATGCCTTTGTGCACCCAGTTCTAGTAAGGTTCCTGGGACAGATGAGGTGCTCAGTAAGTACCTGTTGACTAAACAAACATCGCTCTACTCTCTCACACTGCCCTTTCATAGCTTGAGCAGTAGACACTTTTCCAATTTCAATGAAATCTATGAACCTTCTCCTTGAAAAATGTACAAAACTATAACAATTTTGATCTTCTATAGGGTTTATGGATCCTAGATTAAGCTATATCTATAGAAATCATTTTCAAGGATGAGAATATTATTATAAACACAATTAGTCAATGACTTTCCTCTAGTTCCTTCAGACGTTCTCCTGATTACCTCCCCAAGCTTCCCCAATCCATGGCATTTTTTTTTTTTGCTATTATCATTAGTCTACACGTGTACATTATATTTTAGTGACATCAATGTCAAAGAAAAGGAGAGCTTGGCTGATAAAACTATTTCTATCATTTTTTATAAAGTACACGGTTAGTTTGTCTCTCCTCCCCGCTCTTTCTGACACTAAGAAAATCTTTGTGTACATTTGGCATAATCTCATAATTTCTTTCCCAAAGGTCACTCTGAGTGGAATTTGTAAAAGAGAGGGGTTAAGTCATACTCTCTCAGACACAAAACTGCCTGCCTATCATAGAAAGGTCCAGAATAAGAAGGGAAGTAGAGACCAGGTATCTGGTCCAGTCAACATAAACAACAAATAGCATATTCAATTCCAAGTACACTGAAGACCACATGTGGCGCACTCTGTCAGAGAAGAGCTGACCTTAGTTACCAGTAATGAAAGAGCCCCATGTGAATCTCACTAGCACACTGGGCCTTTGGGCAAGAGACAATTATCATCCATCTGAGCTGAACCGTAAGTATTATGAGAAAACCCTTAATGAAAATCTGCCTCCGAAAGCCTTCATAAGGCCAAACTCTTCAGTACAATGATCCCCAAGCAACCATGAAACTCTGCCACAAGAAATGAAGGGGGTTACTTTTTATTTCTTCTGGTTTACAAAAAAAAAAGTTCATGATGCTGCTAAAGTGCTGGAGGCCACAATTCAAATCACCTCTCTGATTTGCCTTAACTCTGAGGGTCCCATTTCAAGGAGGCCCTTGGGAGAAAAGCAGCGAGCAGTTCCTCTTCGTCTCAGCAGTGGAGCTGGATGCAGTGGAGTTGGATGCAGAGCAGCAGAGCGGCGCTGTGTCCACGGGGCAGGGGTTGGGTATGTGCCACAGAAGCAGCAATAATAGAAAATGCCAGTGCACTGGAGAGTGCAGTCCTGGTTAGTGAACTGGCAGTGTGGGCCCCCACTCCCCATCAGGGGAGTAGCAGGAAAGCAGAGATCCACGGCTGACAGGCGGGGAGCTGCCTGGAGTCAGGCTCTGTGCACTGTACTGAGGTTGGGGCGAAGGGCTTTCGCTATGGTTTTTAGTGCCCCTGCCCCCAGCCCCACTTTCTTTATGGCTCAGAAATACATCAAAACAACAGAGCTTGAAGTTCTTGCAATAAGAAGCTTTCCTATAACTCTGCAAAGAAAACTTTTTCAGGGACAAGTTTTATAGAAATTGGTGTAAGTGCTTATTTCAAAAATCCCACATGGGGAATAATTTTAGATGTGCATTATTTTAATTGCATTCAGTTCCTTCTATCCTAAAACCTGGTTCCTAAGAAAAAGGCTGGACAGTTAAATGTAAATCATTGACGAAATTGTACCTGCAAATTAAGGTAAGCAAAGTCTTTGGAAGGTGCATCATTAGTTTTTCTCCTCTGCATCTCCAAACTCTTTTAGAGATTAGAAGCACAGTAGCTTTAAAAAAAAAATAAAGTCAGAAAAACTCAGTACAAAGCAGATCTAATGAGAAAGCAGGAGTCACATAACTGAATACTGCAATTTTCTACGTATCAAATTTAAGTCATCCCCCATTTAAGAGAGCATCAACTACTACCAAGAAGACTTTCAACTATGAACAACAGCAGAAGAGGGACCTTAAATTTTCATGAGGAAACTATGGTATTACAACAACTGACTTCTTTCTCCGTACTTCACAACAAAGTCTACATTTTATTTCCAGCAGTAATTTGGATTTAAATGCGTCAGTGTTCAATCTAAATTGCCATCATAAGGTGTCTCTGCCTCCAACAAAACTTCCTCAAAAGCTTGCATACCATTTGATACCTTGGTCTTTCGAAAGATAAATAAGAATGCAGTACTAGATAGGAAACTATTTTTAATAGTATAACCACAGACACTACAATCTGTACCATAAACTGGGACAACCACATGCTGTTGCAAAGCTGCCCTGATCTCAATGCCAGTTTCCAGCAGTTGCGTTTTTCTCTGCAGACCGGAATGCATACAGCTCCTAAGGTGTTCCTAACACTTTAAAATATACACAAAGGACCGCATTTAAAAAAAATCCTATCCACACACATCCCAACACAGCCATGCTCCTAAGAAGCTATTTCGGAGATGCCTGATAATTCTGAATTCAGCGACCCACCAATGAATAAGTCACTTTGCAAACCTGAGGAACTGCCTCCACTGCACCTGTACCGACCACGGAAACCCCGGGCAGAGGGAATCTTACATCCATACCTATATTTCATGCCAGTCTGCTTTGCAGTGGACTCCTTGAGAGAAATGTGGTGCTGAGGGGTGAACGTCCCCAGGCTGCGCGCGATGATAGCGACCGTGCGGAATTTGGCCCGGGCTGCGTTCACCACATTGGGGGCGTTGGAGCTCTGCTTGCTCAGAAGTCGGTCCTCACCATTCCGACTCTTCAAATTGTGCTCTGTGCAGGCTATGGAGACTTGCATTGCTTCCCCGGGCAGCGCACGGTCCCTCTCAGAACCCCAGAGCGCAGGCAGTCACGAGAGGGTGAGTAGTTGGGTGGGTTTCTGCTCGTCTTTTAACCCCTCCTTGTCCCACCCCCCTTCCTGGGGATGCCGTCGGAGGAGTCCTCGTGGCCGACTTCAGATCCCGGGAAGCGGCGGCAGCAGCAGCAGCAGATGCAGTGTAGGACGGAGCCCAGGCACCCACAGAAGTCAATAGCCAGCCCTGAAGTTGTCACCGCAGCTGGTGCGGGGATCAGGCTCGCCAGTCTTCCCGGGCAGTAATCTCGGCTGATTAAACGGCCAAATCCATGCAGTCGGGAGGCTGTTGCAGACGCCTAGAGCTGAGCATTCGTGCTGTCTGCACACAGCCCGGCCGGAAGCCTGTCCGCTGCTGTTTCTGAATGCGGGCTCGCCTCTGGGCGATGGCTCAAATCCACGCAGGCATACCGCAAGATGCGCCGCCAGCACCCTCTGGACCACAGGCAGGATGCTCAGCTGGCACGCTGAGCATCCCGAGAAGCAGCTAATCGGAACCCGGTCCCCGGGGACCGGTGGTCTCCATCCACTCCAGCTGTCAGCTCCCTCCCTGCCCTACTCAGGGATGTCGTGGGGGCTCCTCAAGACCCCTTCCCACTCATTTTCAGGCAAAAGCTTGGGTCGTGGAGCCCAGAGGAGCACTGGCTTTGCAGTTACGGAGGAGCAGGCAGTTAGTTACCTCAAAGAGCTCCCTGCCTTTGTGTGCAAGGGGAAAGAGGCAAGGATCACTTTCACAGACTCGCTGTAACAGAATCTGAGGGCAGCTCATAAAAGGGGGCCTCTGCCCAGATTCAAACCAAATCTTGCTGCAGCACAACAGTTGGAACAGGGGAGAGGCAGAGTGGAGGTGCTTCTGCCACGGAACATGCCAGTGAATTAACACAGAAATACTCTGTGACTGGCTGACTTGCGAAAACACAGCCTAAAATCCCTATTACTAGCCTTGCCAGGGTTCATTTCCCCTTTGCACATCATTTCTTAAGCAGACAAGCTTGATGTTTCCTGAAAAGCCACAATACAGACTTCTTGGACTCAAGCCATCTAACTTGCTGCAAAATCTATTCCAGCTCCCAGAGATTGACCAAGGGTGGGGGAGGAGGAGACAGCACTCTGGCACCACCCAAAAGGGGCCTGCATACACTAGGGAAAAAGCTGGTCCACATCACCACCCAGAAAGGTGCCGGCCAGGTGTCTGGAAGTGTGTACACTGCCCGCTGGTCATCTGTGGCCCGCTGGTGAGGACTAGCACTATCCCCAAATCACGGGTGAGCAGCAAAGTGCGAGTCAGGAACATTGCCTGGTTCAGTATCAGGTGCAGAGCAACTGCTTCATAAATGAATCAAGCTAAACACCAACTGGCCGGTAGAAATTTATCTCTCCATTTAAAATGCATGGAGGCCAGACTCCTTGTACGGATGTATTTCCAATAAAGTTGTGGCTTCCGCTAAATTGGCTTTCTGAATGTGGTTCCCAACAGACACTGCTGTCAAGCAAAAAGGATCAGGGTACAAATCAACATTTGTGAGCACCATCTTTGCACTAGACAATAGAGAGAAATATGGAGAGAAAAAATGAAACACTGTCTTCTTCAAGGAAGTGGCAATCTAGGTGGAAAGGACAGAGCATGCAGTCATAAGGGGGCTAATTAGCAATGTCAGGCACACATTAGTTTTTGAATGAGCTGTACGGACACTAAACACACTGGAGTTTAGCAGGGGAATGCTTACAGGAAGCTGGAGAAGGCTCCTCATTTATTAATTCCCCACACTTCTACTGAGACCCTATTAGGTACTGACTTTGCTGTTGCTGGGGTGCAAAGATGATGTAGAGGCTGCACTTCAAGGAGCTCACAGATGCCTAGGCAGCCCTTACAGAGGGGTGGGGCTTTGCCTGGGGCGTGCATTTGATTAGCAGGAGAGGAGGGAGGCTGCCTTCCCAGGGGTTGGCAGGTGTGGAAGGAAACACTCTACATGATTAATGTCTATATGATTAAAAAAATAGCAGGTCTGACTAGTTCTTCCCAGCCAAATTAAGTTGTAAGAATTAAATTTTCAAGTAGACTGTGTGCTTGTCTTGAATTCTAGTCCAGATATAAATTTTAAACATTTTTTAACCTGTAGATAAGGTTTAAATCACATTGTGGAATCTCATTCTTTACACTCCATGCCCTTCCCACTCTTTAAAAATAAATATACTGCCTAATGTTCAGTGGTTGGGAAGTAACTTTAGGATGGAGTGAGGGCCATAGAAAAGAACAAATGAACTTAGGATGACTTCTTTTTACCCTCGATATCTCTGTTCTCTGGAATAAACAACAGTGGGTACAGAGGAAGCAGATCATTCAAACGTTTACTTTTTCATACTAAGCTGGCTCATCGGAAATGATCAATGTGAATCAGGAAAAGAGTCAAAGTGAGAAGAGGCAATCAGAAGGAACAGCTCAGAAAAAGGGAAAAATAAAGCAGCCTGGGAGGCAAGATGAGCCCAATGATCATGGTGGGTCCGGAGGGATCAGGAACCAGTCACTGAGGGGGAGAAGGTTTGGGAAGCTGGTTAAGGGACCAGGTAAGAGTGCTGTCAATTCTACAGAGAGAAGCATCCAGGGTTCAGAAGATCTCCACTCAACACTGTTCACTGAAGTGGCTTTCAGGATTGCCAAGAACTAGCACACCAAGGCCTGAAAATATACCCAAAAGCAGAACAAGGAATAGGTCATCGGAATAAAACATGCATGGTGGAACCCCTCTGAGTCATCTTTGGATCCCCTACAGGACCTCACAGAGTGCCTTGTACAGGCAGACCCTCCCTGAAAATAACTGAGAAAGGAAGATAAGGAAGAAAAGGAAGGAGGGAGGGAAGAAGGGAGGAGTATGGGAATATACCAAATTCTTTGATAAATGTGACTTCTTAAAAAAAGAATAGAAAATTCTGCATGTTCTAGTTTCACACAGCCTGCCCACTTAGAAGGAGTAAATAATTGCCCCACATTCAGGTCTGCACCTCTTGTGTGCAGACAAGCGTTCCAGACATTCGTACGTGCCACAAAGAGAACAAAGAGACTGAGGCCAGAGGAATGCTCACAGGGTGAGCATTTTTCTTGCTACCCACAGTGCGTCTTTTCAGATCGGACGCCACATGGGCTTTCTGACAGCCAGCCTGTGGCTTGGGGACTTACCCAGCTGTTCTCACCCTTCCCAGCATTAATGGAGCAGTGGGTCTCAGGAGCCTGGAAATTAGGTGATGGGTGACTGTGAGAATGTTCATTCCAATAAGTTTGTGCTAACAGGCCACATGCTAATTAAGCTAGGGAAATTAGATTTGGAATGTGCATGCCTTCATTGTCACACAAGATTTGCAGGAGTTTTCATTATTATTTCAAGTTCAAATAAGACCCACAAATGATGACACAGATATAAACATAGATTGGACACAGACATAGATATTGTTATGGGTACCCCCCAATTCATATATTGAGGTCCTAACACCTGAGTAAATATCTCAGAATGTGACTGTCTTGGACATAGGGTGTTTGAAAAGGTAATTGAGTGGATCAAAAAACTGTGGCACATTTACACAATGGAATACTACACAGCAGAAAGAAAGAAGGAGCTACTATCCTTTTTAACAGCATGGGTAAAACTGGAGAACATTATGCTAAGTGAAATAAGTCTGGTGGTGAAAGACAATTACCATATGATCTCATCCATAAGAGGAACCTAGTGAACAAAACAAAACAAACAAACATGCAAAATAGAACCAGAGGTATGGAAACAAGGAACAGACTGACAATGACCAGAGGGCAGGGGGGATGGAGATAAAGAGGGAAAGAAGGGGAAATGTTTAATCAACAAACAGGTAAAATGACCCATGGACATGGACAACAGGATGGGGATCGGCTGTCGGAGTGGGGGGGTGGCTGGAGCAGGGGAGATCAACAGGGGAAGGGGAAATTGGGACAACTGTAATAGAACAACAATTAAAAAGAGGTAATTGAGGTAAAATGAGGTCATTCTGGTGGGCCCTAATCCTATATTACTGGTGTCCTTATAAGAAGAGCGAATTAGGACAAAGACACATTCAGCGGGAAGAAAACACAGGGAGAAGACAGCCGTCTGTAAGCCAAGGAGAGATGCCTCAGAAGAAATCAACTTTTGTTGACACCTTGATTTTGGACTTCTAGCCTCCAGAATTGTGAAAAAATAAATTTCTATTGTTTCAGCCACCCAGTCTGTGGTATTTTGTTATAGCAGCCCTAACAAACTAAGACAGATATAGGTATTGTTTGTTTTTATTCTAATTCTTATATTTTGGGGCAAGTGAAACTACTGGAGCTCTCTAAAGAAGCAGCCCCTAAAAGTCTTTATTAGACCGTGATAAACATCATCATCTTGCCACTTTATGAATCCTAAACCAACAGCACAACAGGCTCTAAAGACATGTTCCAACTACAACTTACTCCTTTCCAAAAACTCATAAAGCCTGTACATGCTGACTCTGGATACAAAAGCGGTGATTTTCGAGGCACTTCTAGTACTTTTTCTTATTCTTAATAATCTCCTTATTCCGTCAATTTGGTCTTTTAGGGGCTTTTTCTGCACTGGGTGTCTGGACTCAGCGCCCGTAAATGTGTCATAAGGCAATGAAGAGAGGCCTGCAACAGAAAGCAAAGGCCTGGGTTCCAGCCCTGGCTATGTCACTTTGTCACCTCCAGTGGCATTACAGCTCTCTCTGCCTCTTTTCTCTCACTTGAAATATGAGGACAATACATATTTGTTTCCAAGATCCTTCCTTGCTCTATAGATTCCATGAAGTGCTTTTTCAGAGAGACATGGAGGTGCAAGATTACATAAAGCCACATCACCACTTATTCTGCAATTTTACCTTGATCTGATCTGGTCTCTATTACTTGACATTTAGAAGTCTTTGGAAATGATGTCAAAAGGTCAGCATTGGGTCATGATGACAGAGGTGGTAAGGAACAGATCACACACTACTTAACTGGCACCCTATCTTCTCATTTTCATCATAGAGGCTTCATGGTATGTGGCAGGACTCTGGAGTATGGGGCCAGTGTGGAGTGTGGGTGTAAATCCCAGCTCCACTCTCCTCTTCCTTCCCATGAGCCACTGAGCAGTACTCTCAATCTCCCTGCACCTCAGCATCCTCTGAGGAAAAAAGTGGTGCAAGAAGTGGTCTCTGGATAATTGTGGGAATTGCATGAAATAGTGCTTGACCCACAGAAGGTGCTTAATAACTGCTACGTATCTGTCTAGATTTATTAAAAGCAGAGCTGTTAAAAACCCTTTAATCTCTCAAACAAGCACACCAGGAGACTCAGCAATTACTGATACCAGTAACATATAGCACTTCCTCTAGCCTAGAAACCCTTAAGAACATTTTACACACAATAACTGATTTACTCTTTATGAAATCCCATGGGGAGGCGCTGAGTTATCAGCTCCATTTTACAGATGAGAAAACATGCGATACAGAGAAGTAAATAAGTTGCCCAAGGTGACACAGTCAGGAAATGTTGCGGACACTGCTGACCAGTGTCTGCGTAGTTATGAATGAGATGAGATACATTCACACAGACTGAGTCCTGTGGAGGAAAAGGGATGGCACGGCCACTCTCTCAAAGGAGAGTGCCCCGACCCTTGCCTTGACGAGTTTTTATTGGCTTTCAATTTGCA